TAGCGCTATTTGAAACACTGGCCACCTCTGAATGGCTTAAATAGATAGCTTCACAAGAACATAACCCATTTTTGTTATTGGTAAGAAAATATAAAGATAATCTACACCATGGATCTAGGTGAAACCTTTAGATGCTAAACGGGGCTTATAGTGTGGAATGTCTACTTGAGCTCGTAGACCCAAAAATACATGCAATAGCCTTCTTGCCAGATGGACGTTTCAAAAGATCCCATGTATGGTTTTTCTTCAATGCTTGCATCCCCTCTTCCATGGCCTCTCTTTCACTTAGGATGTATTACAGCCTCTTGAAATGTCCTAGGTTCGGAGTGAGAATTCAAGGAAGCAAGAAAATAATGATGCTGAGAAGAGAGAACAGTATACAACAGAAAATGTTGAGTAGGACAAGAATCTCTTTCCTTCACAAAAAGCAATAGGAGGAGAGGAACAGGAAATTCATTCAAGGATTGACGACAAGCTCTAGGAAGCCTCTTGGGGGAAAAATCAATACATCATCATCATTATTTGAGCCTATTTGGGGTCGGCTACACAAATCTTATTCCGTCATTCTGTTCTATCAAGGGCCATACTCTCAGTGAAACCATAAGTGATGGCTTTTAAATTGCATGCCAGCTCCTTTTGCCTTCGTAAGTAGATCAGTATTGGTGATCGTTTTGGGACATAGACGAGTTGATAAACCGGTTGAGATACCAAGAAGTTTGGAAGAGGTTGGACAGAAAGAGATGAACCAGATTCAAATATAAAGACATTTAAAGGGGTTGCGCTAGACAGGTGGTAGGCCACCCCTCAAAAGGGTTGTCAAAGTGCATTAACCTTTAAACAATAGGATATATGTTCCAGAATGTGACACTTTGTGAAACAAAATGATTTTACTTCTTTGAACCATAGAACATATAAACCTTTTTAAGTAAACGGAGTATCCTTGGAAAATGAAACAACCAAAGGCTCTAAGATGGTCAACAAAGGGTGGATGCCCCATTAATTTTTAAGGACAAACATTATTAAGAATTGGGTTATGAAAGCTATTATGCCAAATGGACAGCATGACACCAGTAACTCTTTGGAACATGCATATTCATCAATTCTGATCTGGTAACCTCCAAAAGATGGTGATTGTGCCTGATAAAGTCCCTATTCACTTTAAGGCATCGAGATATATGTTTATTAACAAATTCGGTCCACTATCTGACCTAAGAAACCTTAGTTTCGCATCAAATTGGATAACAATCATTTTATGGTACTGTTTACAAATTTCAAAAACTTGATATTTGGATTTCACTGGATAAATTGAAGTTAACTTTACAAGAATCATTGATAATTGTCATAAAAAAAGAAAACGAGAACCAGAAGTAGAAGAAACTAGAGCTGGCAGCAAGCTTCGAATGTCTTAAAGCAAATGGCTAATGAAAAATCTCTTTATTAGAAGATAAAGGCAGACAACATTGTGTTGAGACTCAACACACTTCATAACTTAAATCCTGTCATTGCTGACCCTCATTGGAGGTAATGAAGACTTCCTAATTTTAACAGGAGGATGTCCAAAGCAAGCATGCTCGTAACAAGCATGGTAAGTAACCATCGCAGACGATGCCTTATTGCAATCATCCCTAGTCGTTGTCCCAGTCCTTAAACAATGAAAAACACAACGGGTAGGGTACTAGGTTGCAATTTAGAATTTTGGTGATTCTATTAACAGACAATAGATTAGCTAGAAAAGAAGGAATATGAAGAGCACGAAACAAGATTAGTAAGGACATAAGGAACACCCCTAGTTCCATAAACTGGTTAGTTGAAGCCATCAGCTGTGGACACAATTTTTGAAGACAGAGACTATTAAAAGGTAAAAAAAGGAGGATCGGTTACCTATCAAATGCTCAGGGGCTCCAGAATCCACAACTTAGCAGTTGATGTGGAGGAAACAAGAGAGTGACAGTTACTCTAAGTCAGGGGAGGAGGGAAAGGATGTACTCTCCTTCAAAAAAGCATCTGAAATCAACCCGACGTGTGCCCATATTATCAGCAAGCATCGCAGGATGCATTTCCTTGTCTGTTCTTCCCTCAGCAAAAGACCGTCAACAGTACAAAGGACAAGTAATATTTCACAAGCAAGGATACAGCTCCCAACAGTCTTACACCCTGTGTTCATCCTAGCAACTCATAGGCCACTTCCTAAACTTGGCAACATGTTTTTCAAGCCCCAAAGCACACTTACATGGGGGTGGATCACGGTGATTGCACTCCTCCCACATACCACATAAGATACCATAAGTAGCAGCTATTGTACAATCATCTTGTTTACACTTAGCTAGAACATCCCAGATTTCTCGTCTTACTAAGAAACATGTCCATCCCTAATGCCTGTCTGCATTAAATTCAGAAGCGTCCACTAAAGTAGCATCTTTTGAGTGCCACTCATTATATCCTGAGCATGTGCTGTCATTTTGAAGATCCATCTATATCACCTAAATTGTATCTTCCAAGCAAAAACATTTGAGCCAAAGGAGACACTGGAAAATAATTCACGACAGAAGTAATCACAATACTCAGATTGTCGAGCTGCACATTCTAAGAGCCAGCAATGGTAGGAATTTCTTTGGCTCTTCACTTGCCATAGCTCATGGAATCTTATGCACATGGAGAAAAGAAACAACATGATCAATTGAGGGAGAGAGACTAAATTTTGAGCAGCTAAGGAATACAATTGATTGCCATATCATGACATCTCTTAAAAAATGTCAGGACAATAGGCCCGTCACTCCAAAACAATAACCCAAACACCACCTAAACAACGTAAGGAAAAGATCAGAACAGATCTGGACAGTCAAAGAAAAAAATATCTTCATAGAGAGCTTTGTTTCTAGCACATCAAGGAAAAGAAATTACCATGGCTTAGAACATAGTACTGATTTGATACCCACGGACAAATCTGCCTGGATCAAAGTTTTTATATTTTTTGTCAAAAGATATCCTAAGAAACAAAACCACGATTGAAATGCTTCAACAATCTCGTTCAAACCTTCAAGTCATACCCGAACCCCTTCAATACGAGCAGCGTTCAAAAATACAGATTCGGCCACTTAGGCATTTTGGGTGCCTGGCCCACCTAGGCACCCCTCACAAAATTGAAACCAAACCCCCCCACCCAAAAAAAAAAAAACTGGGGAGTTATATTAGGGCATGGTTTTAAGCCTTAGGGAGTTTTGATAATACATGATTCACAACATAATATATAATAGCAAAACCAAATCAAAACCCTCTTTCAAATATGATAATACTTTAAAATTAGCAAAATCAAAAAAATCAAATCGATGTCGGTCCAAATCTCGTCTGTTGGGTCGCCAAAAGTCTTCAAAATCAACTACTATGAGCTCCAAATCCACTCACGAACTATTTCTTTTGTTTTGGGAAGAAATCAAAAAAAAATCAAACAGTTATCGATCTTTCAATAAATCTCAAAGGAGTGGTTTTTGGAGAGTATTTCTCACCCTAAACGCCATGGTTTTGGTTTTGGGGGTTTAGAATACCCCCCAAAACCCATTTCCCCCCTTTTTAGGGTGGAAAAATGATTTTTTTAACCCTCAACAAGACCCATTTTCCTCCTTTTTTCAACCTGTCACGAGGCGGCGCCTTGCCCGCCTAGCAAGGCGCCTAGATGCAAGCCGCATAATGACCTTGCCTAGCAAGCGCCTAGGCGTTTCTCAAAAAATTCTGCCTAGGCAGTCGAGCGGGCGAATTTTTTAACACTGAAAGGTATTGAAATTCCCAGCTCAACAAGTTGAGGAAAAGCCTCACGACGCATCGATACAAAAACATTGATAGAAATGACATCAGCACCAGCAGCCCTAGATCATGCTGGAAAAGTGCTCGACCGTCCTCCATTATTGTATGCCAAGGATAAGCAGCTTCTATGGAAAGGATTGCCACCTCTTATACCATGTAAAACCAAGCTAAGTTTGATTCGAGGATTTTACAGTGCAGACAAAAGTAAGAGACTGTAGAAAATGAAAATGGAACAAGTCAAAGTCCCCCAGGGTTTCATTAGAATCTATGTGAGAGAGATATGAGCAGATGTTTTAACCTCTGTCACAGTGCTTACATATCCTTCCTTATACATTGAGTGCTACAAAACAGAATACACTCCACATAGACCATATAAAACACTATCTTGCTCATTCTATACTCTGTAACATGAAATAAACATGTAACCTGGGATCTCCGCACCATTCATTCCAGATGACAAATGGTTCAGAAACACATTGGCATGTGACTGTTTCAAAAGATGGAGATCCAGATCAGGAACCATCGATCCTTGTGGGAATTGGAAGATGCGCATTCCAGGTCCCTGTCCCCTGATTCCCTGCCGATTCCATTATTTTATTAATTTTCTTTCCAATTTTTGACTGATTTGCCCTATCTGAATCATCGATCTCACTGATCTGAATCAGAACCCGTGTGTGGGTGATCCATCCCAACAATCCATGTTTAAATGTTTTAAAACAGCTGGTGTGTCGCATCTGGTTCCCACATGGTAACCACAGGAACCAAAAAGAATTTTGCAATGCATTGCATGTCAAATGATCCCTCTCTCTCACATCATGATTCCAATATGTTCTGTAACATCTTTTTTAGCAATCTCTAAAAGCCAGTCCCTAACATCTCACTATAAGTCTTTAAGGACCAATACTATCATTAGACAACAATATGCAGTATGCAATCATCAAGAATATGCAATAAGACTAAGTCCCAAATACCTGGTCATCAATGACAAGAGCATTGCTACCCTTGTGCCACATCTCTCGAAGCTTATTTACAGAACTTAAATGAAGACCCTCTTGTCCTGCAAGGGCCCCACCAGTCATCTTTTGCAACCTCAAGAAAGTACTAACCCTTTGCTTTTGTATCTGGCCACACATTCAATACACTGTTAAGATTTAACAACATAGGCAATGGATGCAACAGAAATAATAAACTCTTTAGTGTCTATATTCCAGAAAGCCAATAAAGCAACTAAAACTTCCAAGGAAAATAAATCATCCCCAGCAATGACAAAGATTTAAATCCCCTCAAGTAACAAGATCATCTAATTACAAAACAGAGAAAGACCAGAAAGATATGGTTGAGCCGATCTAACTGATGAAACCCTCCATATGCTTTTCCGACACAATGTTTAGATGCAGATATGACTTAACTGCAAAGATTTATTACAGAAAAGAGGTGATAAATAGATCATGTAAATAACTTCATAAGGCCAATAAATGCATGAACCATGAACAGATAGCAAAGTCTACATGATAAAATAAAACGTTGATAAAAATAAAGGGTACAATGCACACTTTTCTGGGGTATTCACTATAAATCACCTTCTCGGTTATAGACGGATCAGATACTTTCTTCGCCTTCTCAAGACGACTTTCATAATCCCTGAAGAGACACTTGGCTTCTGGGGAACTAAAAAATGTTGCACTCTCCAGCTCCCAAGTGATATGCTCATAATCTAGACCCCTCCATTTAACCAACCACTCCGTATTACAACCAAACAAGTGACTTCTACATCTGAAGAATATGTTTGGGGGCATTAAAAATCTTTTCTGCAGAAGACGATGGGGCTTGGTCCACTCAGAATTCCATTTCACAAACTACAAGAGAATTGCATCATGAGAACCCGAAAGAATACTTGAAAATTGAAAGGAACCTCAATATGATAAATAACTAATTAGCATGATGCATAAAATTAAGAATATGACTCCGCAAATGGATCCAGAAAAATAGGAAGATACACCCAATCTCTAAAATGGGCATTCTCACCTTGCCTTTCTGGTTATTCTTGTTGTATTTTGCAAGAACTGCAGGGGCTTCAGAAAGCAGCTGACTCTTTGGTACCCAACGGTTATGCACATGAGCAAGTCCCTTGTACTTGACAAAAAACTCTTGCAATTGCTCTTTTGAAACCATACTGCCTGGATCATCACCATCACAGCCACTTTCAGTCAATTATAAAAAAATCAGGAAGGCCCCATTCAAATGCCTAATAGGTGAGCCATAGGCCACAGAAGCATTCTCACCATCATTTGAAATCTTAGCGTCTCTGACATCCCAGATGGATTCAATTCCCTCAGACACTGAATGTAATCCCAATTCTATCTTCTTCTTCACACATGATAGGCAATGCCAAACGCCAGGCGGAACATGCTCCAGGGGAGGATCAAGACATTGTAAATGGTAGCTCTTTGAGCAACCTTTTCCCTCACAGCACCTGAAAGAAATAAAAGTGTATAAGACATTTCCAAATTTACTAAAAGAAGAAACTATTAGAAAGCCATATATCCTTATAATCAACAAGCTACTACTTAAAAAAATAAATAAACTTGAACAATCAACCTCTGTCAGATTCTAGTATAGCTTAACCCAGGTAGTGCTTGCCTCATAAAGATAGAAGTTCATTAAATCATAGTAGATAAAGGAATAGCTGGGAGGCTCAAAAAGAGCCTTAAACTATAAATCATAAAAGCCTTAACTATAAATCACAAGAAGTAGCTTTTACCAAGCGTTCTGCCAGCTTGCAATCATTTTAAATTTGAAGAAGTCAATAATATAATCTTTAGAGTAAGAGAAAGATGCAATGGGTGGGGTGGAGGAATTAAGACTAAAGCCATCAACAGCACATATGGCGAAGAGCTTGGTGGCTGAGACGAAAGACTACTTGAGTGCTAAACATCAGGATAAGGGTAGGAAAATGAGGAGACTAGCTCTTGGGAAGTGGTGAGCATTACTTTTGATGAAAGCTCTTTAAAGAACCTGGGACAGCAGGAGTAGGGAATTTATAAGAGGTGCTTACCACAGGGTGAATTTAGATTGTGAGATTCAGAGAGGCAAAGACTAGAGTTTTCTGAAGTACACCATTCGCCAGCAGGATTTTCCTGGGCTTCTTCTCTTGCCCCCTGCCTGTGGAGGGGGACTCCGAAGACATTATTATCCATTCCATCAACGAATGCCTCGTTTGATTAGTACAGACAGATTTGCTTGAGGAACTTAGAATTTTATTCTTCATTTGATTAGCATAGACAGATTTGCTTGAGGAACTTAGAATTTTATTCTTAGGAGGTCTCTTTCGAGGCTATCCAAAAGAAGGCTTATGTGGAGGTACATTTCGGGCCAGAATGTACTTGGAAATCTTTCTCCCAATATATATCTATATACTACATTATTAGGTCAAAGTTAAGGGATGGACACATGTCGCAAGAACAAAAAGGGACCCTAATGCTATAGAGATTGTAGGATAGAAACCTTATTTGTAAGTCACATCCATAGTTTCAAAAAGCAGACCGCCCAGCGCCTGGGCGCTCACCTAGGCGGATATCCCTGGGCGCCCACCTGAACCCACCTAGGTGGTGGCCCAAGGCCAGTGCCCCACCTAAGGGTGGAAATGCGGCTCCTTGAAGGTATTTTTGGGTCATTTTGTTAATTCTAAAAGGGTAAAATTGTGGGCTTTAGTTTCATTTGAAACCTAAAACCCATTAGAGGCTATTTTAGAGAGAGAAACCCAAAAAAAACAAATTCTACTGAGCGGCCTAGACCCCCCGACTGCCTAGGTGCCACTAGGGCTTTTTGAAACACCGGTCACATCCCCTATCTTTAGAGAAGGGAGAGAAGGGAGAGAGATACCGATTTTGAGAGAGAGAAAGAGGGGAGATGATTTTGAGAAAGAGCGAGAGAGATATGTGGGACAATTTTGAGAGAGAGAGAGAGAGATAGTCTTCAAAAGAGGGAGAGAGATATACATGGACAATTTTGAGAGAGAGAGAGAGAGAAACTTCAAAAGAGGGAGGGAGTGAAAAATATGTGGGAGAGATTTAGATTTTTGGAAGAGAATTTTATGGATATAAAAAGATATTTTATAGATAGACAACGCACGGAGATTTGAGAGTATCTATTATCTATTATTTTCCTCCAAATCTACCATTTTTATAAAAATTATAGGAGAGATAATCTTCAGAGAAATGGTCGATTCTCTTTTTTTCCACTATAAAAAGTAGAAAATCAAAATTATAGCAAATATAGATTTAGATAGAGAAGTACGTACAACATGTTGAAAAAGTTCTCTTTTTCTTTTCTTTTCCCTATATTTAGGATAAATTTTTTAGGTGAGATTGAGAAGTTAGAATATATGTCCTACTTCTTTGTTATCTCTCCCCATGTCTTCTCTCTTCTCTCTCTCTCTCTCTCTCCACGACTCCCCCTCCCTTCTCTCTCTCCCTCCTCTCTCTCTCCCTCCTCTCTCTCTCCCCAATGATATTCTCTCTATCTCTTCCCCACAACCCCGCCTCTCTTACCTCCCTTTTTTGTTTAGAACTTCTCTATTTGATTATTTTTAATAGGGTGTTGTATTTTTGGTTCATGGTTTTTTGGTTGAGTGATGTTCAATTTATTGTAGATATTTGATTACACATGGGAAATTGAGCAAGAAAATAAGTACACTTTGTATGTATGCTTGTATGTATGCTTAATGTTCATCTATTTTCGTTTTGTATTTTGTATTTGAGGCTTTAAAAATAGATTATGAATTTTTGTGCTTATTTATTTCATGTATAGCCAATCCTTTAAACAATTTTAAAGTTATCAAAAATAATTTTTATTTTTGCAAGAAATTATCTTTTTATGATCACTTTTAAATGATATATTTATATTTTCTAATTTAGTAATGTAAATTTTCTTAAAAAGTAAGTTTGTTTTTTTGTGTTTCCATGCTTTCTAAAATTACAAAGAAAAGTTCATTTTATTACAATTTTTCAAATATTTGAAATTAAGTACATTTTTATAAAAAAAAAAAACGAACTCTATATTTTGTATTTTATGAATAATTGATAAAGTTGAAGTGCAAAGTTTTGGTAGATAACTGCTAAATTTGATATTTTGAATTACAAAGTACCCCAAATAAAATATGTTATATCTATTACAAATGTAGAAACCAGCTTTCGTTCCTTTGATATTATTAAATTTTGAATTTTTAATGCTTTAAACCTTTATTTACATATTTTCCTTTTCTAGAAGTTTTCAGTCATAAAAAATGAGTATTTATAAATATAAAGATTTTAAAAACTTTTATATTGAAAAGAAAAGACTGACTAATTTATTTAATGAATTAAAAATTATAAAAAAATATATTAAAGGTATAAAAATAATGAATTAAAAATTATAAAAAATATTAAAGGTATTAAAAATGTGAGGTTTGGATATAAAAGTTTTTTAAAGCATAAGAAAACATTAAAAATGGTATTTAAAAGCATAAAGCAATCCTGAAAACTAATTCAAAAAAAAACATTAACATAGTTTATTCTCATTGGTGATTTTGCCATCTATGTTTTGAGTCATGTAGATCTCTTTTCATCTCCTATTTTTATTGCTTCAAAAGCACCACTACTGTGACACCTAAACATGTCCTATATTTTAGAGATTTTATATCAGGTTACATAATCCAACACCTGTGAGAGTAGCATGTCCTCTCTTTTGGTTATCTGGATTCAATATCTCTACTTTTCTATTTTTAGATTATTTTCTGTGAACTCTAAAGAGGTACTTTTTTCATGTTTTTTATTTATTTTTTATTTTTCATACAACTTCATACAAACCATGTAACTTGATGAGGCCTATGGTTTATAAATATGATTAAGGGTCTATGTAGATCGTTTAGTTTTATTTTTCCTATATTTTGTTCACCATTGTTTGAATTTTGACACTAACACTTTGGTTTGTGCATTGACAATTGATTTCATAATTTCTTTTAAATATTTATTATTGCTTTATGCGTGATGTATTAATAGCACCTGCAATGCAGGTGCATGGTACTATTGAAAGTCAAAATTAGGAACTTCAGATTCTTGACCTATAACATAAATCTTAGTAGTGGCAAACTTGCAATGTATACCTAATACTCCGTTTCAGTTCAACAGTAATAAATAATTAAAGGAAAAAAATCCCTGGTCACAATGGCAAAAATGCACAGAGCAAACTAAATGTCAACAAATACAAATATGTTTTGGGTAGGTTAGCAAATTTAAAGATCAAAAGTGGGAAAAGTACCCAAGTCGCCGGTAACTATACAATCAGCTAAAATGCAAGATGAACAAGTTCTAGTGACCTACTACAAAAGCAATTATATTTATTCTCTGAAGTCTAGGCTAAACACCACTCTAGTGTACAGCAGCAATAAAAACAACTATTGCATACAGAGAGCTAGAACGATATGGATGGTCGGAGACAAAAAAAATAACAAAAGAAGGAAGTTATGCTACACACAAGAGCTTTCCACCACGGTTGCAGATGATACAAGCATTGATCTGGCGATTAGCATGATCATTCAAATCCTTGTGTTGAGAACTGTCAGCATTTTCTTCAAAAATTTCTCTACTGGCACTAACCTGCAGTCTCACTCTATCCTAGATCGAAGCACAAAAGAAGAGGACAGCATCAGCTTTCATTCGAACTTTTAATGATAGAAAATGACAAGATTCCTTTTCAACTATTTGTGAAGGCCAAAGAAAGAAGCAAGTCTTTCAGGACTACGATCAAATGGGGAAAACAAAGTATCTAAGAATTTACTTCTTCCAGAGAAAGTGCTCCATTTGGGGTAGTACAGGATCCGATCAATCCGTTTATATTTTTTCTGGCCAAGTCAGAGAAGATAGATTGATTTGTTAGACTGCAAATACAATAAATGCTCCAAAGCATAAGTTGTCAAGACAATTATCATTTCAGGAATAAAATATCATTTCACTGGTCACAGTAAATAACAACAAAATACATAACACAAGGGTATCACCGAACTTTCTGCATTCATCAGGTTTCCCAGAAGCATCAAACTTAAAAATTTTCACGGCCTTTTCCTCTTGGGGGCAGCTTACTACAACCCCAATTTCTGGAGAACTTCTTGACACACGCTCAGAAACTTCCTAGGCAAGATGAAAATATTACAATTATTAAGCGAGAATGATTATACAACTTGTCATAAACTAATGATCGCAAAGGCATTGATGAGATAAATTCATAAAACTGCAACCCCAACATAAACTAGTACAATAAAAAACTAAAACATACAAAACAGAAAAAAAAAATTATATAGAAATATTAAGTCATAGACTCCATGAAGTTTATGGACAGTAAGAAACGATTATCTATACAGTTCTTCAGAACAATTTCTTGATATTTTTTTTTTCTATTATACTTTTTGGTTGGTTTGCCTCAGACCAAACAGAACCTTTCTTCCATTTTCCTAATAACATTTAATCCATGAATGCCATCTGTTGTACAATAATATTAAACGTAATGATAAATATTCAAGTAACTTTACAATATAAGGAGTTAATTGAATTGTCCTATATGAAGCATTTCAAAGCCTTAACTACTGAACAGAAATCCATGACCTCGGTCTCAAAATGAGCTGCTACAAAACAAGTTTCCATCCCAAGAGCTATAGAAGGTATTGCAAGAATTTAAAACACACAATATAGTATCATACTGAACAATAACTGTCTCAAGAATAAACCAACATGAAAGAAGTGTCTAGGTGCAATTGCGTGCAGCCACATTAGAGGGTTAAAAACTCTATTATTGTGCACTTTAAGCAAGAAAAATCATGACAAGAGGAAAATCCCATTGATATCCTAAGGAGATGCTTTAGACATTGAACAACCAAAAGATTTAATGCCCTTACTTCCCCAAAAGGGTCCAAAATTCCCCATGACAGGCCATTTGTTCCATTGCAAAGCAGCAATCACATTTTTTTTTAATATTAAAGCAGCAATCACAGTTAATAGCAATCATTGAAAGCAGCAGCCTTTTCAAGCTATTGGACTGTTGCCCATATGTCACAAGGTTGCCATTCCTGCAAATTTCCCTTTGAATACCGGCAACATAATCTTGCGCATAAAACGCCATAATAAGTATTATTCTTTTCATATATCTCCTTTTTCATATGAAACAGATATGTTGAATTCAGATTAAATACTTATGATGCAAATAAAAATTAGAGACAAACCTCAGAAGTAGAAACTGCAGTGAATGATGCTTTCACATTTGCCATGAAGACCAGATTTCGTGAATCATCATTTACCCTACAATAAAGAAGAACAAATTTATTACTCAAAATGATGCTTTCTAGTCCACAATATTCATGCACACCAATCACAGTATAGCATCAAAAATGCCTCGACGAAAATTATTGATACTCCTCTTCCCCTACCCATTTACCATTCATTTGAAAATACAGAGTCTGGGACATCAACTGAATATTATCAAGAGATAAAAGAAACTACAGCTGCAACGCCTCCATGAGCTATTGAAAAACTGAAGCACTATAACCTTGTGAGACATGAAAGACAGCCTTAGCATGGCTCAATAATAAACTAGCTAAGACAGCCTTAGCATGGCTCAATAATAAACTAGCTAAGACAGCCTTAGCATGGCTCAATAATAAACTAGCTAATCACAATTGTAAGTGCTAGGATTACATGAAGACCTCACAATTAGTATAAGTTATACACAGCTAAATTAATTCTCATTTACAAGCTAGATAACCCGTCAGAAGAGAGGATGCACTTAATTCTAAAAAGAGCACAAAGATCATAAACAATGCTGCAGTACATATGCAACTGAAAAGAAAGAAAAATTTATATTTTACAGAAGTACACAACTGAGAAACAATTTACCCAAAGATAAGATGAACAAAGCACGACAAAAATTATGATTCATGTAAAATGTTTGAAGCCACAATTACATACCTTTGTAATTCCAAGTTGGTAGCACAATGATCTTCACTAACACTCCCATCACGAACCTCTGATGTTCCACTAACTTTATTTCTTTTGCTTTTGGGTGGAGAAGATGAAGCCGCATCACCCGAAGAAGACTCTAAACCACAAAGGTCCTTATGTGCAGTAACTTTAGTATCGTCATCACGGTCTGCAGTTTTACGCTTTCTCTGAGAAACTTTATCCTTGCAGGCATTTTGGGCTAGATAATCCGCATCTTTATTGGTGTCAACAGCTTCATACTTCGCTTCTGAAAAAGCTGACTCTACATTTTCTTGCAAAGAGATGTTATCCTTCTCTCCGTGATCTTCATTTGTGCTACCAACCATCTCTGCCCCTACAAAGTCCAACATTGACATGCTTCCACCCTTCATTTCCCATAACTTTTGATGTTGTGACAAAGAAAGGAAGTTGAAATCAACATATAAGGAAGTTGAAATCAACATACCTTTGTCTGATGAAACACTATCCACCAAAGCAGCTTTCCCTTTCGTGACACTCCCCTGAAGTTGGGTTTTCTCAAAATCAACATCATTGAAAACCTCTTTAATTGTGGGGCTATCCAATGATGTTTGTGAATCTGAAAAGTAAAACCATCAAATAATCATCATTTTATCCAAAACAAACAAAGAGAGAGAGAGAGAGAGAGAGAGCTTCACAACCCACAAAAACTTGTTTGCGAAATAGGTGACAACATAAACATCATTTCATATCATTCATATCAAAAATAACAAGGGAAACATTCATATCATTCATATCAAAAATAACAAGGGAAACATTTCATATCATTCATATCAAAAACTTCAAGCCCCACAAAAATAACAAGGGAAACAAAACAAAAAATCATCACCCAGACCCGCACAATAACTTGAAAGCCTCACATAAGCAAATAAAATTATGTTTAAAAAGCAAAACAAAACAAAAACTAACTGTCATACTATGGGACACATTGTTACTCCCAAGGTGGGAAACCAACTTACCAGTACTCTGATTCTTGCTACGGGAGTCCTCACTCTGAGACTGAGAGGCTGGTGTACTTTGGCTGTTGCTCATTAAATGACCCTCCTCAGTATCAAACTTCTGCTTCTTATTTGGATGTATCACATCCCTTTCTTTTCCATTAGTGATACCATTAGCATCCTTTTTAGAATTAGAACCAGATCCAGCAACTACCCTTTCAAATTTAGAATGCAATTTTGTCCCACCTAATGACACCTGATTGTCATCTTTTCCTTCACTATGGGCAGATTTACCAGCATCTGTTCCTTGAGGGTGCAAATCATAACCAACATATTAACTCAGAAACAGAACCACGAGACTCTTGAAAGAAAAACTTTAAAAGAAAAAATAAAACTAAAAAATTAAATAAAACATAAAAAATTAAAAAAATAAAATTTGATGTAACTCCCAGTTCCGAATTTTCTTTTTGCAAAAATTAGCAATAAAATAACAAAAAACCAGACCTTCTCCTGAAGAGTCCAAAAGAATATTAATTATTTTTTTTAATTCACTCCTTGTTCTTGAACTCCAGCAATATCTGTTCTATTCTCTATCAAATACTTGAATGAGTATTCTATTTGAGTTTTTACCCTCATTTTTCTCGCCATGACATTTTTTTTTTTTCATTCCGCTCTCAAAATGAAAAGCTCCCAAGACCCTACACTATTCAATAAAATAGTGCCATAGGTCTGTACTGAAAATGACAAAAACATACAACATTTTGCCGAAGTCCTACAACAAGAGGAAAGCATTCAACTACCTGAGGCATTAGCGTCTTCCACCTTGGGTGGCCTTGTGATAAAGTATTCCCGGTATACATGGCGATGCAAAAATTTCCTCCGAGGCTTTAAAGCATTTTTATCTGCCCCATTTTCCTTATGACCACTTTCTTTGCTGCTTGTTGTCTCTTGTGTTCCCCCATTCCCTGATTTATTTGAGGAGCTGGAGCCCACTTTTTTCTCATTTTTTTCTGATTTTTTCGAACTTGCAGAAGTTGAAGCCCTTTTCTTCTCACCTTTTCCAGATTTTGAAGCCACATGCTTGTCAGTCTTCTTAACCTTTTTGCTCGAAGGACTCAACGATACCTTCTTTCCAGATTTATCAACCTTCTTTCCCTTTAGAAGACTGAGAACCCCAATCTTCTTTGTTTTTTTCTTCGATGTTTTGGGACTCAAATGACTTGGAGAACCTGACTTATCCGCTTTATCAAGCTTTTTCTGAGAAGACGAGCTTAGTGATTTCCGCTTCTTCGATAATACCTCTCTAGCTGACCTCCTCAAGCCTGAAGAATTGGTTAGAGAGCCACGAATGTCTGAGCCCTTTGGTCGTAAACCCATTCTTTTCCTGCTAAAGCTTCCACTAGAGCTGGTAAGATCCTCATCCCTTAACTTACGAGCTGATCGGTTAACTTTGGACATACTTTCTCTGTCATGATGATAGCAAAATCAGCAGTGAAAACCCAGTTGGTACGTGTTTCTTTTTTTCGGTCGGGTGGAGGGGAGAAGAGAGAGAGAGAGATAAACCAACATCCACAGGGACAGAAAAGGCCAGCATCCAAAAATCCAGGGAAGAGAGAGAGAGATAAACCAACATCCACAAGGAAAGAAAAGGTCAGCATCCAAAAATCCAGGGAAGAGAGAGAGAGAGATAAACCAACATCCACGAGGAAAGAAAAGGTCAGCATCCAAAAATCCAGGGAAGAGAACGAGGGGGTTATCAATAGCAAGAACCCCCTCGGTTTTTCAAGAAAGAGCACGAAATTAATAACAGTAACCCAGAGAGAGTTGGTTGGGACGGAACCAGTAGCAAAAAAACAAAGAAAGTTCTCTGTTTTTTTTCTTTTTGGATAACCAGAGAGAGAGAGAGTGAGAGATACAAATACAGCATTTTAGTGTACCAACCAAATAAATAAATCTATTCCCATGCAAATAAAATAGACATGAATATTCACTTTGTGAACCCAAGGCCTCACCTAAGAATTCCCTGGCATGAATCAAATGAATCTCTCCCTTACCCCTTTACCTTGAAAAATAAGCAGAATATTATCAACCACTCTGAAGACCACTAAACATTCTTCAGTTTCATCAACCCTATAACTTAAATTTTAAAGCTATACCAGCTGAAATCAATATTTGAAAACCCTAATACATACTAAGGGAGAAGCAGAGCCACTCAAAACATCAAAAATAACAATGTAGAAGCCTAATTGTCAAAATTCAATACAAAATTTACAGTAAAAAACGAAATCAATTAAGAAGGTATCAAGATAAAGTAAAGAATGTATATTCGATTTACTCTTCTCTTCAGTTAAATTTGTACTGCATGTAGCAGTAAAAATAGTGTTCTAATCATAAAACAAACACAATGTGAGGCAATAATCAACATAAACTAAACAGAAATCTCTAGATCACCAAAATATCAAACCTCACAAAAATTCTCTTTACAAACACAAATCACCACCAAAAACAAAGGGGAAAAACACTTCAAACACAACGAAATGCAGAGATTATCCACAAATTCCTTGTGCATTCACGTAAATTCCCTCGGACATTATTTTCACCATGAAAACTCCGTGTATAACAAAAAAGGATCTTCAGATTAGGGCATGTCAAGTACCTTCATAAATGAAAGTCCTCAAGTAACTGAATCCCTGCCAAGACGGGAGAAAACCCAAAACCCTAAGTCTATGGAAACAAAAGCTCCGAGACTGAAGAATATACAGTGAATACCTCGAGTTAATGGCGATGAAAAATCACGATTTTCCTGTGATTTAATGAGCAAAGAAGAAACGCGGAGAAATTCACGCACAGGTTGTGTACGAGAAATAGCGAAAAAGGAGCTTGATCCGGAATAAAAAAAAAAAAAAACAGAAGAATAAAATCTTAAAAATCAAAATAATTCATGAGAATGGAGCATTATATAGAGGCTTGCAGGGCGGGAACAATACCGAAATTGGCCTTAACAAGCTGCGTTTATATCGAGAATGGGACTTTAGTTTCAATATTTCGAGATTCGCCTTTGCCCGTGGTTAACGGTGATTGTTACTTGGCTGTTCTTCCTTACCTTCGTTTGTTTTGGACAATGTTACCAAACTTTATTGATCGAAAGAATAAAAGTAAAGAAATTACATCCTTAATAATAACCAAACAAGGAAACACCTTGTTTCACTCGATAATCTACAACGTCGTTAGCTTCCTGATAGACATGACGAAACGAAACCGCAAAGAAGCTATCAGATTTAAAACTTAGATCCAAAATAATTTCAACTACCAAAGGACCCATTGTTCTTTATTGTACCACCTAATTACATTCCCCTTCAATAACATAACAATGTCCTATATGTCTTTCGTTGATAATTTTCAAACCCTAGATAAGTACTACAAATTCAGTATAATTAACGGGGTTGATACCACATATACCTGCATAAGAAAAAGCAATATCTCATTGCCAATCTCTAATGATCCCATCAAACCCTACCCAACCAAGATTACTACAATAGCTGCCATTGAAATTATGTTTAAAACAACCTTGAACCGGAGGCATCCATCAACATTTAGGCCGACTCCTCACCACCTCCTTCTAAAATAGATTTAAGAGGTCAAGCCTTGCATCTACTTCTGAGATACCCCAACCATCTTTGGTGATCGATAACCAACGCCATAATGAATGCTCAATATTATTTAGCACTCTATCAAATTGTAACGCCTTCTATTAAAAGTCTGGTGATCCTGTTCTTTCCCAACTTCCCAAAGAATTACCTCTCTCAAGATTTTCCATATTGTCATACCCACCTTTGGAAGGGAATGGATATTCAGATGGACCACAATATCCAGCACGGTAAACAACACTGCCAATCTTATCCCCATTTGATAGAAGCATCGATATCAAATTCTAAAGACAAATGAACAATATATAACAAATGGGCACATGTCTCGCCATCTTCCTTGCACATCTAGCATATATTTGGGATTATCTTATCCTTTTTTATCTGATTATCCACAATGAAGATCTTATCTTGAACTGCCACCAAATAAAAACTCGCACTTTGTATGAAATATACCATTTCCATACCTAGGCCACTAGCAGTAAAAACCATCCCCAACGGTCATGGAAAAACAATCTATACTGGATTTAACAAAGAATTGTCGGTCACATTCCACTTCCCAAATTAATTCATTACCCAAATTTGGAGAAATATACACTTCCTCCAACTCCTACAATAGACTAAAGAATCGGAGATGAATATCATCTTGGATTTGGTTATAGGAGTTCCAACTAACCTTACTACCTCGGACTTCAGACAGCTCTGAAATTTTCCCATATGGTTGCCAAACGTTTTCAAACAAATCCAAATATGAGAGTTTAAGTAGTCAATCCCCCAACCATTTATGGTGCCAAAATAAGACAATAATATCTAGCTCCACATACCAATGAACATTACATTCTTACAAATGATTGCAAGCAAAAAAAAGTTTTCCACTATAAGGAATTACCATTTCTACCTCTATTGTTTGAAATCCACATTCCCTTATCTAATCCATAGTTGGAACCTAGCACTTGGTAGTATAGTTGGTCTCTTAAGTAGAAACTCCTCCACCACCACTTACAAAGGAGGGCTTTGTTAACAAGTATAATCCTCCTCATACCCATACCACATTCACTCTTAGGGGTACAAACCCTATCTCATCTAAGCAAATGGAATTTCTTTTGACCACCATAAGTACCCCAAAGGAAATTTTTTATCATGCATTCAATTCTCTTAGCCACCACATTTGGCATTTGTAACAAAGATATTTGATATATTGGGAGATTCGCCAAACATAATTTAAGTAAAGTTTCTCTCCCCTTCAAATAAAGATACTTGTGTTTCCTTGTATCCAATTTGAATTGAATACGTTATAATATAGTATCCCATGCAGAGATAGATAGCCTTGCATATGAAATAGGAAGACCCATATTAGTTATGGGGAAAGCATCAATCCGACGCCCCATACACTCATCAATATTTTTTACCACTATATCATTGCATCCAATACCTATTACCGATATTTGGCAAAATTTACTTTCAACCCCAAAGCAATTTTGTAGCATCTCAATAATCTTCCAATATTACTCACTTGGGTACAATTAGTTTCACAAAATATTACTGTATCATGTGCATATTGCGAGTAAAACAACCTTGGCTCTTGTGCCACCTTGAACCTTTAAAATTTACCTCTACTCTCCACATGGTGGAACACGAGGCTAAAATATTATGCATAAATGGTAAAGAAAACAAGGGGCCAAAGGGTCCCCTTGCATCAATCCCCTTAATGCCCTAAAGAAGTATTTGGACTACCATTAATTATAACTGAAAAATAAGCTGCTGATAGGTAACAAAAAATCCAATTCCTACATTTCACAGCAAAGTCGATTCTTAAAGAATGACACTCCTGTCACTCCTCAAGAATTTACAATACTGTTATTCTTGAGATGTGACAGACAAAATATATATACATCTATTAATAGGACAACTTTACAGTGGTGAGGTCTTACAAAATAACAAAATAAAGCTAGCACAACAACAATATCTTCCAAGGTTGATCTTGACTAGCACTCAAAATGAATCCGCAGTTATCCTGAAAAAATATTTACCATAGTTTGATGAGTTTGGCTACTCAGTAAGTGATCATCATAATCCTAAAAATAATCATGATTGAAAGATATCAATATTTTCCAAAATGAGATCTATTAACAGAAATGCATCAACAGCTTCACTTTCAATAAATGCATAATTAAGTATAATCTGAGTAATTGAAATGCTTATAACACTTTTAACGGCAGTGCATAATTCAAAGGATTTCACAAAATACCCTACTGGCGTCCCAAGTAGGTCACCTATATACCCCATCAGTGTCCTGATGGGTCCACTTAATCCCTATCGGCGTCCCAAATAGGTCCACTTAATCCCTGCAGGTCCACTTATACATCACCGGCGTACCGGATGAGTCCACTTAATCCCTACCGGCGTCCCAGATAGGTCCACTTATACCTCACCGGCGAACCGGATGAGTCCACTTGCATACTTAAATTATTTCTAAATCT